TCCTAATTGGATGTCATTGGATTCTACGCGGCGGTCGGGATCCGGGGCTAATAAAAGTTCGATAACTCGGCCTCGAACGCGTTTCGACAGTGTTAACCCTTTAAGTCGAGAGGAACAGACGAACGTTACCGGCGTTAATGCCGCGTCAAGTCGGGCCCGATGAAATTGAGCTTGACACCGTAACGTGGAGTTAGTTCTGGCAGATAGGATCGATTTTGAACGGGGAAAATGCAGGTGGATCACGCGTCCCCGTGGAACTTTGAGAGTCCTGCGGAATTATTGTTCAAGTATTCAGATCCACCGAACTTTGAACATCCGACTGAAAATGAAATTCAGTTGCCAATTGTTTCGCTGGAATTTATGCAGGAGTCTCGATGACGAATTGGCTTTCTAATTTTGAATATGAAAGTTTCTCTTTTTGGAAAGATTTCAAGTTCATTTTGGAAAATTTTCAGTTGCCTTTCATGAGTTTTTGTTTTGAGAATTGAACATTTATTGTACTGTCGTCTGTAGAGATAATGTCAGAGTCGTTGGTACAATTAGCGAAAGCAGAAACTTTCGAAGAACTGTTGAAAAAGTGTTTGGCAAGCACATGGATCGCGATAACATTCAACATTCCGTAGTGAAAGGAACAATTTCCACGTGTTTGCTTACGAGCACCGCGTCTCAAGCGAGTAAATTAGTATAAATGCGTTCTAAATCCTCCGAGTAGCCAGCGAGAACGATTTCTTTCGTGCTTACGTCCCCGGTGAAATATCGCAGAGAGGGCTAATAACGTTGAAGCAGTTATCCCGAAGGAACTAAACGAAGCAGAGCGAAGTTGGCCGTGTATCCAACGGATCAAGATCTGACGATCCGATCCAGCGATCAAGTTTAATCGCGCTCGACTTGATTCACTCGCGTGCTTTCCGATTTCGAATGTAGCTGAGAGTAAATATTCGTGAATATTCGTACGGAAACGTTACGCGCGTCGCGAAGGTAAGCGTTTAAAACAAACGGGAGTGTGCGCGAGACAGCTTCGAAATAAAAGGAGGGAATGGGTCTAACGAGCTCATCAGTGCGAAAACGAGGGAAACGAGGAAAAATCGTGAAAACGAGGCTGCGTTACAAGTGTATAAACATCCTTGGACTAATACTAACTAAATACCACTGCACCCCGTGTAATCGATGATTATTCCGATGAGTTTACCTTAGATTTTAATGAACAAATATTTTCAGTTAAATCATGATACACGCGTATCGACATCGATCTGTTACTCAACGAATCGATGAATTTAGAGTAAAAGGGACATATGAATACAGAAAATGATGAGTAAATAGAAATTCATTTACGTTGTGCAGTGAAGTTGCGAATAATGAGATAGCGTAAGCAGAATGCAGGCATTAATTGCACAAAAATGATCAGAGGCGCGAAATAGGATCTCGAAGTGAACGAAAAAAATGGTAGAACGTGATCATCAGCGAGCGCCATGTGTCGGAGCAATCATGGAAATGAAATTCGCGTTTGCTTTCAATTCCACGGAGGATAAATGAGGAATAATGGATGAGCAGTAGGCTATCCTGGCTTTTTTGTGCGACGCGAGTCCAGCGCAATTCGAGGAGATGCCGTGTGCAGACCGCACGCGCATTCGAGCGCTGTAGAGTCGGAAGGAGAAATGGTAGAACGCTCGCTTTTTGTTTCTTTCATTTCCTCGTACGTGTTTCCCCCTTTTTATCGTGGAAATATGTAGTGAGTATTAACGCCGGTACTATGAGCAATGAATACGCAGCTGCGTCTTTCTAAAAATATAAAAATATGTTTGGGAAAAAATGCAAATTAATAAGTTAATTCACTTAACCCTAATCGGACCACGATGTTACTTTGAACCACATTTGAATTTTTACTTAAATTTTCTGATCACTTCATATTGCATTTTCAAAAGTTTTTTTGGACTTTTAAAATTTGGGCTCTATAAACAAAAAGAATGTTTTAATCGATTCGTCATAAAAACACGTGGTGCGATTAGGGTTAATAATCTATACTGAACGGTTCTACTAATTTACATTTTTTACAGTTTCCATTCATGTTTCAGTCGATTTGAAGTAATATGTGATATTCTTCCTACCGTGGAAACGACTAAATATTTTAAGGAATACGATGACACAGCTCAAACAACTGTTGTCAGGGTTAACAAGCCAATAGTTTGGAACGTTCCGTCGACCGTAGCGTTAACGGAAACACGCGTTCCTCTAATTTACAAATTCAGCAAACACTTCACGTTCGACTGAAGCTTGCTCGCCAGAAGAATGGCGATCTCCCGGCAGTCGAAATCGTAATTAGCACTGTGTTGCGTACCATCGAAAGTTCGCTCAAACAGCAGACAATTGGATCCACCCGTAGTCCTCCAATTAAAACTTGCGCAAGTTCCGTGGCGAAGTTAACAGCTCACTAGGGCTAACTTAAGTGAATCTTGAGTAACGGGACTCGTCGCGCTTTCCTCCCGTGTTTGTCGATATTTTCTCAATGCTTTGCCCGGATTCTTCTCAACTTTTAATCACCAGCCTCCTTAACGATCAATCAAACTTCTCGATGACAAACTCCCATCGATGGTTTTACATTTAACAATGAGAAAATCATACTTATTACTTCTTCTGATACAGTAAATCGATCTTGATATCGAATAATTTCTCAAAAATCACTGCAAAGGAACAAACGTACAAGATTTTAGAAGCACAGAATTGAAGCTCAGACTTCTACCGACATGAAATCGGAATAATGAGACTTCCAAGGGCAATATCAAATATTTTGCTTCGCCAGCCGAACTCCAATTTCACAATGCCACATTTCCCCGGAAATCTCAACGATATTTACGAATGCCGTCGTTAAGTCCAGGGCTTGTGTATTGCAGCGGAAACGTGACGGGACTGTGGTGGGAAAATTGCGGCGGGCGATAAATCTGGGAAGAAGGGTGAGATGACGGTCCCGAGAAGTCGAAGACCGTTCGCGATACAGTAGCCCGTTGCGGCGTTCCCAGGCACGTCCGTTTCCAATCTGTTTTACCCATAGAGCCTGGGAATCGACGTTTACGCGTTTCTCGAAAACTTGGTAACACTGATTTTCGGATTTCACTGAATCATCGGGAGATGAAGAACTTCCGCGACCAAGTGGATTCCAAAGGCGCGGAAATTCTCCTTCGATGAAAATCGACGAACGTTTGCGTATGGAAAACATGATTTTCTGGAGAAACGATCGAAATCATTGTTACCGCGACAACGGAAGGCGTTCAAATGAAAAATTTAGTGTGTTTTTATGTTGCCGACGCTCTAACGGTAAGAGTATCAGTTTTCATGTAGAAAACGGGTCTAAAATACTAAAAACTCATGCTGCAAAATATGTTTGTGAAGTCATACAAAAAGAACACCGTGCATTGATATTGAAGTAGCGTTTCTACGTCGGAGAAGTAACAAGTAGTAGAAGAAACTTGGCAGGCACTTCGACCGAGGTTTACGAACCTGCGGAATATTTGCGGACCTCTCGAAGTTCCCCTTTTTGGAAGCGAAACCCCACTCATCCTGTACTCTCTCTTAATTCCGTTTACTCTCGCCGAAATATCTTGTACCGAACCGGTGCATGACCTGTCCATAGGTCAGAGTGACTAACTCCGTTCTTTAAATATCTTCAGATCCCAGAACCAAAATATTTTATTGGTTTCTTATGCGTGGTTCCATCAAACTTGTCTACTTTTCATTCTGTAAAATTAATCACTCTGGCAAATGAACCTCGTGTACTCTGTGTTTACCAGAAATACGCGCTCAGGACAGCACAGGTGCAAAATAGGTCTGTCACTGGATGTTTTATCTACAATATTAGGTTAATTGCTATGTGATTCTATTGACGGACACTACATTGCTAAGAAAAGGCATGTGTCTGCACTTTAACCGGAAATCTTTCATTCTTCACAACAGGTTGTCTTCCCTCATTCACTCCCCTCTCTTCCCATTATTTTCTCTACAATAAAATCTCAAAGATAATCATAGCAGATCCTCGCTACTAGTGTTTAAAGCGTTTTCCATACTTCACGAGACTTTAACGCTAGGTTCACAGACATTTGCCCGGTTTATTCTACTGCTTCTAGAAAAGTTCATGTTCATTCGGATTTTGGAAGTTATAATCGCATCAATCAAAGTTGACGTAAACACATACTAAACAGTGTTTGCAAAATTCAGTACACGCTCCGTAAACCTAGTGTTAATACTAAACGCGCCGTGATCCAACCAAGACCGGTATGAAAATTCATTTTGCAATTTTTCCTCGATAACTCTGCATTATTACGATATTTCATTTGAAATGCATTTGAAAAAGTGACAAGATCTTGTACATCCGCGCTCAAAAATCATTCTCTCCCCCACAAGCATTCTTCTCGCTCGCACTTCCAACAAATTCCCAACCACACCCTACTCTCACCACCACGCACTCATCATCCTCGCTTACGCATCGCTCGGGACGCAGACGCGAGTACAGCCAACCCTTGGGCCTCGTCTCCGTCAGTCTCCTTCTCTTTTACGGCCGTCTTCCTGTCTTTCAAAATACTCGCTGTCCTACTGCCTTGACACATTGAGCGCTGGCGACCTATGAGACATTTAAAGCCTGAGCGCCGACAAAAAGGAATATTCGAAACATTATACATTTTCGTGAAATAGTATATTTCAATTTCATGTTCGTCAGATACAATTCAACGGAAATGAAAAATAGAAACAAAATCGAAATTTGTAGTTTATAATTATAGAAAAAATACAGTTTCTTATTTCGTGGTGGATTATTACATATGTATAACATAAACAGAAAACGAAAATATTAATATCGGCGCTCAATGTGTTAAAACTACGATACTACACTAGTAACATTGAAAGTAACATAACGACGTGATCCAATTGAAAAATATCTCGACAAAGAAGCACACCTGCGAATAAAACTGATACGAGCGCAAAGGGTTAATCGACATTTCGATCGTCTGTTCCAGGAAATGGCCACGTGACGAGACAGAGGAGCGAACGGTGCCGCCAAGATGAACACGAACGGCAATGTCGGCTCGCAGGAGGGTGGTAACGGTACCGATTACGGTTCGAGCGAGGAGACGGCCGCCTTGCTGAGCAGGGCGCCACCCCCGCCGGTCGTGGTTGCCGCGGCGTCTCAGGGCAAGCCGGTGCTCACGCGACAGGATCGGGCGACGTTTTTGGTCGCCTCGCCACAGTTGTCCGTCTCGGGGCTCGGCGGCTCCGAGGAGAGCGGCACCACCGAGGATCTGGCATCGAGATCGGTACCGGACATCGAGCTGCATTGCAGGCTCGGCGACACCCAGCCGAAGCCGCAACCGCCGCCACAGCCGCAACCGCAAACGCAAACGCAGACGCAGTCGCAGACGCAAACGCAGACGCAAGTACAGCAACCGGTCGTGCCTACTATTTACCGGTCCAGGCAGACGTCCCATCAGCACAGGTGTCGATGCGACCGTAGGGACTCCCTGGCGCCTTCGTCCGCCTTTCACCTTGCGCGCAGCGTTTCCAGGTAGACGTTATTCCTTTTCGAATTTTATTACCCTGGAGTTGTATGGTAAAAACTGTCGGAGTTGCGGTGTAATAGTAAGTCTTTAACGCATTGCGTACCGGTAACGAGAAATCTCGTTTTTATATAAAGACAGCTACTCTAGCACTTGTTCTCAGCTACGTGTGACTTACCGCGTTACCTTTAATACCGCTAAGTTACACGCGACCTTTCATTATTCAAACTGATTGAGATACATCATTTAACACTAGAACTACCAGATGGTTCAGAATGACTTATTTCTGATTTCCTCGTTTACAATAACTGAAAAGATACAGATACTTCTACGAAAAATTATTAACGGAACTAATTCAGTAATAGTGAAACTGAAGTGCAACTCAATTGAAATCGCAATAAACGCACGCTTATGGTTTTCATAAAGAAATTGGTAAAAGTCAGTTTAAGTAGTCGGTAGTTCTAGTGTTAATGCATCTCTCTTAGTACATTACGTGGTAACGAGAAATCTCGTTTTTATATACAGACATTTAGCAGCTTCGCTAATTACCACAGCATTGAAGAAAATATAAAATTTGATTCGAATTGATTATCTATTTAAAATATATTACATAACAATATATCTGAGTTTTTCTATGAGTGACATAAGTTGACCTCAGTGAAAATTGCCTTCCGCCCAATTCAGTTTTTTTGAAAATTAGCCGGTACGCAATGTGTTAAGAGGAGTCGGAGATTGCTTGGTTTATTTCTTTGGGACTTTGTAGTTTGATGGTGGGGTTGAAGAGTTAATGGACTCTGTTCCTTGGGGTTGGACTATTGATCGAGTAGACGAGGTATTGAGTATTGAGTTGTGTTTTATCGTTAAAGGACTGTAAATGAAAATAACGTGAAATACTGGTAGTTCGAATTACTTACATGGAGAATGATTAAATAAAGCGTTTATATTTCTGAATATCTAATGGTATCGTGAACGGTGTACGAGCCAGCTCAGTTGGATAATCTAGTGAGAATTATTGTGGAAACGTGGAGTACACGGGAATTAAACGTTAATTTCGAAATAACGTGGAGCAATTTCATCTATTTACAGAATAGTTTTGTGCCGTCATTTTGAACATATTTCTGTCTACGTACGTTTGGTGAAATTATGTTTAATTCAACGGTTAAAATATGTTCATGATGTCGTTGTCGTGTTCGCAATGTAAAATGGAATTGCGTGCGATATCAACATTATTCGTGGATGTTTCATAAGAACAGTCAGCCCGCGAAGACACATATCTCACGCTCCAAGGTGAATATTCCACTAAATTTATTCCCCGTGTCCATTCCGGTAAGATATCCTTAAAGGTGAGAACATCGTTTTTTTCCTCCTCGTCGGTTCCTTGAATTTTGCATAAGAACGTTTCAAGCGCGCCATTGTAGGATGGTTCCCCTTTTTGGTGATGTTATCACTTGACCTGAATGTAGAAAGTTCTTCCAGCGTACGTTTAACATCGTAGCCATCAGATAGCCATCTGCATACCTTTAAAAGGGCGATAGCCAGCTGGAAAAGAATTCTATCTCGTTCAACTGAGGATTATTATTCTTTCATGTCCGTAATATACTGTGACTTTATCTTCTCCCGTTCGGTTCATTAATAACTGCCGGCTCTCTTTGATTAACGGTTACCTCGAACTCTAATTTCCATATTCATATTTAAAAATCTTTATTTACTTCCACTGTTCCATTAATCATTCCCCTTGTTTCACATAATTAACATCTCATTTATACGTATCTTACGAATTAAGTATTTCCCTCGAGTTGTCGAGTCTTCGAACGATTCCCTATTCGTTCGAACAGTCAAGCGAGTCATTCAAGTTTATATTATTTCAAAATCGCACTGAGCATCGCATGAAATAATCATAGATCGTTATTCACGCTGAGCCAGTTTACGATGGACAGCTCAGCAATGATTAGTTTCGTAGTTGATGAATTTAATCAGCCGCAGTTAGACGCGAGAATGATTAATCAAGAACTAATTCGCTCGTTGCCCCGGCGAATGGTGCAAAGAGTTCGTAAAACGCACCGCTGGTTTCACTGTGCCACTAAACTTCGCCGGGGTGTCGTTTCCCCCGTAATTAAACTCCTATTCGCGGGTCGTTCCTTGGCCGTACTAATGGCGGCTCCCGCGAAATATTCGACCGTACGTCTGTTATTCCACGTCGCGGGCCGCCATCGGACGATTACCGAACGAATTTCCAAGCGAACACAGTGTCAGACACGGGAATATATTCGGAATACCGTAGCGGGAAAAGTTTCAATTTATGGAACTGTCGGAGTTCCGAAGTTCCGGCTGATGCGATGCGATGGCTCGCCGCGCCGAGAAGAAGCTCCGCAACAGTACGCAGCGCGAAGAATCCTCCGTGCGCCATAGTTCCGAATGTTTAAGGCAAGAGTCGCTGAATATGACCCCTTAAATGCCGCTTTATCGTGAATTCGCCTCCCGGAACGTTTTCCCTCTGAAATGCTTACAAACTCCCCCGGAACTTCGCAGATTTCTCGCAGACCGTTGAAGACCTCTTGTAAATTTCATTATTTGCACGAAATTCACACGAAACTGAAATGATACGGAACGAACGGGATCCAATGGGTTATCTTATATCCGTCGGATTCGTGATTCAATCGTACGTGTAATGATTTTATGCCCGATTTTATCTGGGAGCGACTGGAAACCTTTTATTTTTACGATGTCAACACGAATTTTCCCATCTATACGTCCGGCAATGTGCGAAATTAATTTGCCCGGAGCGTTAATTTGCAAATAAATTGTACCTTTCGGATGCAATTTAACACGCCGCCCCTTAATTCGTTCAGGGCTGAACGGTAAGCGTCGAATCATTCGGCGAATAATTGCGCGAACATTGCGCATGGGCACGGAACCCGTTCCGGAAGGCTGGGTTCATTGAGAAGTTTGAACGGAAAGCGATTCATCCCCTTATAGCTAATAATTTGAGTGAGTCCGCTGCCTCGGGAATCGGCTTTCTGTTAGGCGGTGTTAAAACCGGCCGACCTCGTTCCTCGGATCCACATCAGTACACCGACTCGCATCGGAAACGCCCGCCATCGTTTCCTATTCGCAAATTCGCCGTGATCCCTGTCCCGTCGCGAGTCGTAAAGCAAAATTGCGGGTCGCGGATTTTCCAGCCCGGAGATAGGAACCGTTTGTCAAGGAATTGTGCGTTAGATAGCGGGTACTTTGCGAGGCAACCGTGATGCCCGGGGAATTTGTGGCATTTAATTAATGTACTAAGCTCACAAATTACGGCGACGGTAACGGCTGACCGTAAATAGCGAAAAACGTATTCCTGATGGCTTAGGAGATGTTCGATGGAGAAATAGGAATGTGACCTGCATTTTAAACGCAGTTTTGTGTATTTCGTGAACAATGCAATTTCTTTTTTATTCGGGCGTCTTGATACAGTAGTGTTATTAGTACTGTTATTAAGAAGTTTGAGGATGTTTAGAATTATAATTACTTTATGATGTTATCTGAAATATCTTCGACCTTGTACATTGATTATTGCGGTTGATAACATTAATTGGAGGCTTTTTGGGTGATGTTTCGAATAAAATTCATCAGGTAAATTGTCGACATGTTTGAAATGAATGTTTCCGGATTCGTAAGTCTGATTAAAATACTTTAATCGATGGAATCGTAGATATTGCTCATCCCGATGACCTATGGCCAACAATAATCCCGGCAGTCTCGTCTCGTTCGGAGTCGTTGACGCACAAAAAATATCTCCTACCCTATTTCTGGCCAGATTCTTGCTATATATCCTTCAGAAGCCATCTTGCTCCAGCCGTGTGAAGCTCTATTTACGGCACTCTATCTCCCGAATCGCTTTCATTCGTTTGCTCGCATTATATTCGGCTGCCTGGCCTGAAAGATACTTACCAACCAATCTTCCTTTCCACCCTAGGAAGATCAAGAAAATATTTGGACAGACGTGTCAATAATTCGTGAATGATTCTTGCGTAAACACTCGAGACGTTTGTGTTAAATTTGTACTCTTTTAAATGAAAAATTGAAAGGGTAAGATAGAAGAGTGAAAACGGATAAATTAAAAATGTAAAACGATACTTCCGATCGGAGCTGTAATTCGACGAAAGAATTTTAGATATCACTGCTGCCGATATATCGCGAGTATAATCCTTCTAACACTTGTTAAATGTAACTAGTACTGCTTCACACTGGTAAAATGCCATTTATCGGAAACTCGACTGCACCGGCTCCCTGTTGGACTTCACGTAACATTTTTGAAACCGCCTCGAGCGTGGGAAGCTTGAAATTGTCAATATCGTTCGCGTAGTTCCCTTTAAAGGGAATTTTTTCTGAATTTCGGTATAAAGCGCAGAATACGGAGTTCATTCCATCCAATCATTGACACATCATTGATATGTCTGTACACCGTCACCGGAGTGTCGAAGCTTACAATTTTCCAGCACAGCGACGACACAGTGGAAGGCTTTTAAAAAACTGCTCTCTGATCACTGATTATTCAAGTAATGAATAAAGATACCCGCGCGAAATATTCTCCTCGAACCTTATACATTTTCATCACCGCGTCGTTTGCAACAGTGCCCGGCTATTTTAAGTATTAAGTACACATTCTGTAAAATTATAAATTCAACGCGACAATGTGAAAACAGTGGGAACCTTAATTCCCCGAGTAGACCGAGAAACCTGAAACAGAAAAGCGACCTTACAATCTATTTAATCTCCGCTCTAAACATTTAAAATTATACAGAATACATGGTAAATATCAAGTATCATTAAATATCAAGCTATCCGTTCACATATAATCAAAATAGTTTCCATAATTCAATTCCACGTGTGCTCGGCAATCAAATATATGTAGTATCCTAGTAGACACAGACCAGGTCCAAGGGTTGGTGGGTTTCCCCAAGGGATGCGTAAGCAAGGATGATGAGTGGGTGGTGGCGAGCGTAGGGTGTGTTTGAGAATTTGTTGGA